ACAATAACAATAGTAATAATACTGGTAGCAAAACCTTTACAACCAATAACTACAAAAATGATAAGGGTATTAAAAGGAATGCTATTCATGACAAATAGTAGTATTACTGGAACAAAATAGTTTCATCTAACCTCGAATAACGAGTCAAAACAGTTTCGAATTGTGTAAAATTTCCCACAGGGTTTCGAATCTTCTTCCTGGGCACGATTTTCTGTCCGCGACTATACCGCTGTCTCGAGAACATCCCTGTAGCTTTTTGCGTTGTTTTCCTGTCGAATCGTAATAACTATTTGTGACTAAGAGACGATCTTTCCCCACTGACGGATGTGCGTGGTGGGTACGTGTGCCAGAGGATATAATGGTGGATAGTATCTTGCGTATGTGTGCGTGTGTGTGTTTGTGTGTGTGTTTGTATGTGTTTGTGTGTGTGTTTGTATATGTGTGTGTGTGTGTGTGTGCCTGTATGTGTGTGTGTGTGTTTGTATGTGTGTGTGTGTGTTTGTATGTGTGTGTGTGTGTGTGTGTTTGTATGTGTGTGTATGTGTGTGTGTTTGTATGTGTGTTTGTATGTGTGTGTTTGTATGTGTGTGTGTGTGTTTGTGTGTGTGTGTATGTGTCTGTTTTTACCTAGTTGCTTCAGCACGGGAGAATTATGTATTCCCGTCTGTTATATTGGATTTGAATATTCGTATTACTTAAAAAAAAATGTTAGGTTTTGCAAACGCTGCTAGAATAGAGAGGTTAATATTATGTAGAGGTTACTGTAATTAGATTTATCTATTTTCTCTATATCTATTTCCTTGTGATATATATTTTTTCGCATTTCTAATGATCTTGTTTTGCCATTTCATGTACGCTAGGGTTATGTACGTATAACTCTCTGTCTGCATTAAATGTTATGAAAGTCTAAGTGATGATTTATGCCACACCCGTTCCTATGAATATGTCTACTTGTTTATTTATACATCTATCGACTCCTCCCATGCCTTGCACACCGGAGCAACCCGAAATTTCCTCCTCACGATATTCGAAGCTTCACCTGCTCGAAGAGTCTGAACCGCGACTCGTATCCAGCTTAAGAACGAAATGAATGCCACAGACAACCCTCCTCCCCCCCCCCCCCTCTCTCTCTCTCTTGTAACTCCACGATTAGAACCAAGTGTTCGAAAAACTTTGGATATTGAGACGCCCACTTTAGCCAAACGAGAGTACTGGAAGTCTTATTTTCAACAAGCAGACGCGCAATCTATGCTCTTAACAGGGTGGGGTTTTGCAATGATTGTGTTTCCCGGATGTTGCCTCTCTCTCGTTGCAAAGGAGCTACGATACTCCCGAATTATCAGTAGAAGTGTTAAGCCTACGTGCAAGTGACGGATTGCGTCGTGAGAGGTTTATTTTGTATCCTAAGCTAGTTTATTTACTCTGAAATTACCATCAGAATGATATTCACTTCATGTTTACGAACGTCAGATTAGGCTCTGCAAAGGAAACACTTGTGGTTATGTCACTACAGTCAGATATATTTTTTTTCTCTCTCTCTTAGATAGAGGGGATATATATAGAGATAGATAGACAGACAGAGAGATAGATAGATAGATAGATATATAGATAGATAGATAGACAGATAGATAGGTAGGTAGGTAGATAGGTGGATACATACATGCATACATACATATACATATACATATTGGAGAGAGATAAACACACACACACACACACACACACACATATATATATATATATATATATATATATATATATATATATATATATACAAATATATACCTATATATATATATATATATATATATATATATATATATATATATATATATACATATATATATTCATATATATACATACACACACATAATCTACTATAAAAACATATAGTAAGAGTTTTATGAAGATACACAATACCAGAGCCAGAGAGAGAGAGACTGTTTAAAAAGAGAGAGACTGAGGGAGGAACCCATATATTTATCAATCAATCTATCTATCTATTTACTGACTTACTCAATTTATTGCTTTATTCCGTTTTCAATTTATTTTTTGGAAGTGATGTCCAGTGATGTGTATATATGTATATATATATATATATATGTATATATATATATATATATATATATATATATATATATATATATATATGTAAAATTATATATATATAATTGTATATACATACATATATATATGTATATACATATACATATATATATATATATATATATATGTGTGTGTGTGTGTGTGTGTGTGTGTGTGTGTGTGTGTGTGTATATATATATAGTATATATATATATATATATATATATATATATATATATATTATATATATATATATATATATATATATATATATATATATATATACATATATATACACACACACACATTTTTTCAAGTCTTCTGTATGCATGTAAAGTCAGAGAATACGTTGATATAAATATATTAAGTTTAATAGATAGACTTTTAACCATGAAATTAAACCCGTTATTCGTTAGCTTGTATATATATATTTTCTTTCCACTTTCGTTGTGAAATAAAATGTAAATGAAATATTGTTGGTTCATTTGTCACATTGGCTACAGTATTTTTGTAATTGATTGTATCTGTGTATCCTTTTACGTGCAATATATTTATTCAAAATGTTTAGTTTTAGGTGTAGAATGCAAATACAGGTATGTGACGAAAAATAAAAGAATTTTATATTTCTGCTCCAGTTAGGGAAATAGAGGTGTGT